TAGTTTGCAGCACCCGGAGATTAAGTCTCGTTACTGAATCGCATTTTCCTACTACGGGTCGGGGGAGCTCGAACTTTCACAATGACAGAATTTAAAGGGAGGGAAAGAGAGAGAGAGACAGGGAGATTAAAGATACTTTTTTGAAATCGTTAACGTTCGCTTGGCGAGTCCCGAAGCGAATGGAAGGTGGTAAACTTTAAATTGAACCGTCAAAAAGGGGCACATCGACACAATAGCTTCCCAGTCCCGTGTGTTACGTCGTATATTTCTGTAAGATTAATTTTTCGATGACAAACGGGCAGATCATTATCGCAATAACGGGGAAATTTGTTATACAATATATGCGCATCGATCTGGCGATGGGGCATTGATAACGGAGCAGAGCGGAGTTAATTTCGTATCTATCGAGATAACGTGTTATAAATTTTTAGAGCGAGATCGCCAGTGGCAAATGTTAAGCTTGTGTCTTTTACGGAAAAGATCCGAGTTGATTGGCTACACATTTCCCGGGAACGAGGAACTTGGATCAAGTTGTAGCATCGTGAACACAAGGCTTCGGAGGAACGTTTTGTTGTCTGCGCGAGATGATGGCTACCCCCTCGCACAGATCGTGGAGAGTCAATTTCCTTGAGATACGCAGTAACGTGGTCTCTAACGAGGCAACATCGAGAGAATCTCGTTTTCGGGCCGTCGCTCGATATGCGGTCGGTATCGTAAAAAATGTATGGAGACCGCCGTTCTCTTCCCGTTCGAAACGTTCGCAGTTTCCCCAGATAGAGTCAGCAATCCCCGTCGATTCGCATCAACGTTGATTCGCGCGGGCCCGGGTGGTCGTTTAAAAAAATGATGTTACTCGGCTGCGCGGGAAAAAAAGGAAAGAGAATAGGGGAAGAGGGGAAAGCCGAAACTATATTTACGAGGACTGTGAGAGCGTTTAGCTTTAATGCGATTAGGACGAAACATTCAGGGCTCGTGTTCTCGTATACGCGGGCTCCGCTCGTAAGCCTTCCTTCGTCCTGGGACGCTTGGCGCTCTGAAAAATTCATTCCACCCCGAAGCGAGAAGCTCGGGCGAGAGACAAAGAGGGAGAGCGGCTTGAATGAAAATCCTGTTAACGTGCTTCCCGAATGCGGTCCACTGACCTAGCGAGCTGCATCACGGGCCTTCTTGCTTTCGGCGGCCGTCGAAACGGGTCGCCCGTCTTGGCTCACTAAGTCTCCAAGTTCCGACGCGGAATGCGCAATCGATCGTCGTAGTTTAACTCGGCGACCGACTCTACTTCTTTGATTATGCGAAGAGTTTTACTACGGACTTGCTGAGGAGCAGAGAAAACGAAAGGGGGAGAGATAGATGGACAAAGAGAGAAAGAGGGAGGGGAGGGCAAGTCAGTGCATTCTGGCCTTCGGCTTTATTGGAATTTTAAGACAGATGTTCGGATCTCTCCAACATCGCGAAGGCGCGTAGAGATATAATCTGCAAATTTCATCTCTCCTCGTTGCACCTCTGTAAATGTAATTATTCAATTGTGATTAATCCCTCCAAAATATTTAAATATACGATATATATTTTTTCGTTAGTGAGAATCTTTGTAATTACTTATATTACAAGATTCACTTTGAATGTAGTAGATG